CTAGGGTTGCCACCTGTCAGGGATTCACCCGGACAGTGCGAATTTGAAATCTTGTGCCAGGTTTTCAACTTAGCTAAAAACTGGACACAAGATGCAGGCTGGCAGGGGGAACCCCAGGGTCCTGCTCAGGGCTGGACTGGCTCATTGTCAGGCCCGGCCTTAGGCCTTTAGGCGCCATGTGCGAGAAAGCTTTACAGCGCCCCTCAGTGACCACACCACTCAGTGGCCACACCCACAGTAACCACACCCATTTCCCCCAATATCTGCACCATTTAAAGACTCCTATTTTTTTAAGCCGCAAACAAAAATATATTAAAAAGTATGATAAAAATAAAACTTTTATTCAAAGGTATTAAACTTGTAGGCGCAATATACTGTAAGTTTTCTTATCAAATAAAACAACAGAAGGCAAACAATAGATGTCAAACTAAAATAGAGTCTATAAAAATAAAGTGTCAGGATGTCATGCCGGCACCTTTCTTCAAGTAAGTATATCTAGAAAAGTAAAAATAGAAAACAGAACACAAAACCCAGACTACGTGTAAATTAATGAATTACTATATGTCCGAATATACGAAAAATTTATTCAGGCACATAATAATTTGTTTGAGAATGGCGTGTTCTGTGAATGCGTGCCACCTAGGGTTGCCACCTTTTCTTCAAGCGAAACCCGAACACTATAGCATCACGCGGACATATTCTTTTAGGAGAATGGGTCGTGGCTTATTCATATGTAATGGGCACCACCCATTAATATGTAAATAACACAGTTGAGACTATTTTCAGTGGGGGGCCAGTAGCCCCTATCTTAATTTTGGTTGCCCCTGTCTGCCTGACATCTTGTGTCCGGGTTCCTGGGGCCATGAAACCCGTACACAGCATTCAAAACCCGAACTGTCCGGGTAAAACCTGGACAGGTGGCAACTCTAGTGCCACCATCTTGGAGGCGGGGAGCATGACGGTACATGACACCATGCATGCGTCATGCATTCTAAAAACCACTGGCCTGATAAGTTAATTCGGGGGGAGGCGGCAGAGGTGTACACAGAGGTAGTGAGAGAGGTGGGCACAGTGGGAGGGGAGAGCTGGAGGGGGGGGCGGGGGGTCAGTGGACACAGAGGTGGTGAAAGGTGGACACAGTGGCAGAGCTGGAGGGAGGGTCAGTGGACACAGAGGTGGTAAGAGAGGTGGGCACAGTGGCAGAAGAGCTGGAGGAGGGTCATTGGACACAGAGATGGTGAGAGAGATGGGCACAGTGGCAGGGGAGAGGCTGGAAGGGGGGGGGGGAGTCAGTGGACACAGAGGTGTTAAGAGAGGTGGGCACAGTGGCAGGGGAAGTGCTGGAGGGTCAGTGGACACCAGTGGCATCACAAGGGGGTGTGGCCTGCACCCGGGTGACACCATTGCTGGGGTGACACCAATATGACTGATAGTCATTTTGGTGTTACTCCCTCTAAAAAGTCGGGGCAATCCTTTTTGGATTGTAAGCCCTCACATGCCGGGCCCTACTTACCATCTTGTCTTGAATTGTATTATGATTATAATGTCTTCCTTATATTGTAAAGCGCTGCGCAAACTGTTGGCGCTATAGAAATCCTGTACAATAATAATGTATTGCTGGGTTTCGTAGTCCTCTATACAGTGGCAGAACTACCAGGGTCGCAGCAGTGACAGGCCCTAGCATTTCGTCACTTAGGAGGCCCTGGTAAACGCCGACATTGCAGGTTACCAGACCCCCCTTCTATCAGTCTGTGACCCTCCATCCTTCAGACTGCATGGATCGTGTGTATCACGATTGAACTATGGTTTGGTTTGTGGGGGCCGCTAGTGAAAGATTTGCCCCCGGACGCCTTGTCACCTTTTCCCAATACACACCCCCTAGCCTCTGAGTTGGCCCACCCTTTGGCACTATAACAGCTTCAACTCTTCTGGGAAGGCTGTCCACAAAGTTTAGGGGTGTGTCTATGGGAATGTTTGACCATTCTTCCAGAAGCGCATTTGTAAGGTCAGGTACTGATGTTGGCTGCGAAGGTCTGGCTCATATGCCGCTCTAATTCATCCCAAAGGTGTTCTATCGGGTTGAGGTCAGGACTCTGTGCAGGCCAGTCAAGTTCCTCCACCCCAAACTCGCTCATCCATGTCTTTATGGACCTTGCGTTGTGCACAGTCATGGTGGAACAGGCAGGGGCCATCCCCAAACTGTGCCCACAAAGTTGGAAGCATGAAATTGTCCAAAATGTCTTGGTATGCTGATGCCTTAAGAGTTCCCTTCACTGGAACTAAGGGGTCAAGTCCAACCCCTGAAAAACAACCCCACACCATAATCCCCCCTCCACCAAACTTTACACTTGACATAATGCAGTCAGGCAAGTACCATTCTCCTGGCAAGTGCCAAACCCAGACACGTCCATCGCATTGCCAGACAGAGAAGCGTGATTGATCACTCCAGAGAACACGTCTCCACTTCTCTAGAGCCCAGTGGCAGCGTGCTTTACACCACTGCATCCGATGCTTTGCATTGCACTTGGCTATGTAAGGTTTGGATGCAGCTGCTCGGCCATGGAAACCCATTCCATGAAGCTCTCTGCACACTGTGTGCTTCAGCATGCGCTGACCCCGCTCTGTCATTTTACGTGGCCTACCACTTCTTGGCTGAGTTGCTGCTGTCCCCAGTTGCTTCCACTTTGTTATAATGCCACTAACAGTTGACCGTGGAATATTTAGTAGCAAGGGGATTTCACGGATTAATTTATCACACAGGTGGCAATCTATCACAGTATCACGCTTAAATTCAGAGCTCAAGAGCGAACCACTCTTTCACAAATGTTTCTAGAAGCAGTCTGCACTCTGCATGCCTAGGTTCTTGATTTTATACCCCTGTGGCCATGGAGATGATTGGAACAAATGAATCCTGTGATTTGGAGGGGTGTCCCAATACCTTTGGCAATATAGTATAGCTTTAAAACATGTTTTCGTAAGACTTGTGACACGTCACTTCAGGAATGGCCAGGAGTTTGTTTAATAAGCTACTATGGTGATAATCAGGCAATACTAAAGCCAGCTACCGAAGTGTCGTCGCCAGGGAAACCAGTGTGCGCATCCACAAACGTCATCAGGAAGGCCCTCTCTTTCATCCAATCACATGCTTTGTGTGAGGTGGAGGGGGTCGTGTACAGCTCGGTGGCTCCGCTTCCGGATTTGCTTGCGGTTGCCAGGGGAGGCCTGGGCCGCGGCATAGCAACGAGAGCGGAGAGACGCCGTGTGGAGTGAGAGATCGATGCGGTGTTCACGGGGCTCCGGTAAATGACTTTGGGGTGGGCTTTGGAGCAGTGGGAGAACTGTTGGGTATGGAGAGAAAGTGCACAGTGGCAATGAATAGACCTCAAAAGAACAAAAAAAAGTGAGGAGAGGTGGGAGAAGAATGACTGGAATCCCAGAGCTAGACGGGAAGAGCTTTGGTGAAGGGACGTGAGGTCATTCGGTGCCCTAGAGGTATCTGAGGTCAGCCTTTAGTGGGGGGAAACTCATCCATTAGAATGGATATCTCATTTTTATCAGCAAGGGTTGATGTGATGACTTCATTGTTGTGTGCCTTGTTTAACGAGACTCTGTCACTAACATGAAAGTGCAATTGTCCAGCCACCCATGACGTTGAACGCTGTTCTAAAGCAGGGGTATTGTCTGCTAAAGTCTCTCCAGGAACCAGGACCTCCATGTGTCGTTCTCCTGTCCCCCCACCACACTCAGTGGTTCCTCCCGCTGACCCTTTATGTCATTACAGCTGAAGGAACCACTGAATGCAGCGGTCGACCAGGATTCTGACTCCCAGAAGTGGCTCCCTGGATCTTCTCTGTACTTAAGATCTGAAGAAGACTTCAGCCAAGGCTTTCTCACCAACAGAGCAGCATCCTACCTCCTGGGTGGCAGGAGAAGTAAGTATTCCCTTTCTTTTTTACTGGTGCTCTTTTATTAGTAATTTGAGTCCGGTGGCCTTAAAGAATACCAGTCACAAGTGGAATTCTGCAAGAGCATACATATTCAGTCTTCATTTATTATAATTGTGCAGGTATACTTCTAAAAGGTTTCTATTTGCCTCTAGGGACTGTTTTTTTTAACTTCAGTGAGAGTTATGGGGGCCAGAGGTAACCTATGGTCTGGAACATTTGTCACCCTGCTTTTTGTCCTATCACACACAGTCTCCCAGTTCATGAGCATGCTTAACAGTGCTATGTAACAGTAGATGTAATGGATTACATGTCTCTTTTATTTGATATTGTTGTACACACTCAGGTGCTGAGAGACTGTGGGAGGTCCGGTAGTTACCAAGGCAAATGGAACTCAAACTAAGGTGACAGATTAAAACAGAAATACACCCTGGTATTCTTTACAACCAAGGAAAGTGGCATCTTCACCTCTGTTTGGATTGCAGTTGCCATGGTGCTGCAACACCTGCCATTTGAGGACTTGAGAGTTCAGTTAAGAGCAGAAATCAAGACACTTTGTTTTTGGTCAAATCTTTATTTTTAAAGTTCTTTTGCAGCTAATTTAGTTTGGGAGGCATGGGGCTGGCAGAAAGGGGGACCTTCTTTATACATGGAAGGACTGCTTTAAAGAAGAACTCCAGGATTTAATAAAAATAAACCCTTGCAGTTGGGCTACCCCCACACTGCAAGGGTTAAGTGCTTGTTTTGGTCTAGGGACGAAAATAAAGAAGATATACCTGCCTGATCCTTGGTCTCCCCTGACTGCTAGACCGATCTCTGCAGCCTCTTCTCTCCTGGGCTCCAGTGGCCTAAGGATCCATGATGTCATCGTGTCTAATGTAGGTGATTAGACGTGAGGAAGCTGAGGGACATACCACAGTTGGAGCGGAGGGGGAGAGAGTTGAGTGGTCACTGCCGCAGGACAGAAAATCCAGTAAGTGTATCTTCTTTATTCTCACCCCTAGACTAAAACAAGCACTTCACCCTTGCAGTGTGGGGATAGCCCCACTGCAAGGGTTAATTTTATTAAATCCTGGAGTTCTTCTTTAACACTGAACATTTAGATTGTTGCATAAGCCCAACGGTGAGAGGTTATCTTAAAGAAAACGAAAATTTGCTTCTCTCCATGCCATTTGATACTGATGCAGTCATGCTATAGTTTTATTGTGTAGAAGCAGCCAAACCACATGAACTGTAGATTGCTTGGATTTTTAGCTTGATAGTTCCAACCTACAAAGCTGGCCATACACTATACAAGCTGATTGTACAATCTCCTTTAGATCTACCATCAACTTTGTAGTGCAAGGGCCTGCCTGATTGGATATAAATTGAATGTATTGTTTTGGTCTGTCCTCATATTACATAGTTTGGGTATAACTAAAGGAGATTGTACAGTTTTAGGCAGTCTATACACTATACAATCTCCTTTAGGTCAACCAGAACTATACAGCACAACCCATCCAGTTTGAATCCAGTGCGGTAGGCTCTCTTACTGCATAGTTTTTGGTAGATCCAAAGATTATAAAATCAGATTGCAAGTTTGCGGCTAGCTTGAGTTAGACCTTTTATGAAAACTGGCACTCTGGGATACAGCAGATGTCATTGGGATGGCACTGTCACAGGGATGGTATTGTCTGCGTAGGGAATTTTCAGCTGATTTATAAAAATTATCAAAAAAAGTTATTAAAAAACCCAAGTATGTTCGCCAGTTAGAAACCTTTTTACATGTGTGTAACAGTGACGTGCTGTGCCTTCTGTGCTGGGTGAGGCATCCCCCAGCCCGCCGAAGCTCCGCCCTATCCCACTGAAGCCCTGCCCCATCCCGCCGAAGCCCAGCCCGATAACTGGCTGTGTAAGGAGGGGAGGAGTCAGGGAGGAGCCTCCCTGTCCCTCACTTGCTCGTCACTGCTGAGACATCGAGATCGATGGTCTCAGTTTTTTTTTTTTTGTTTTTTTTTTATTGGACAGCTTGGACCAATGGCGCTTTGCCATTGGTCGAAGTTCACACCTCTAACACAGTGTAGAGGCTGTGACAGCTCTTGTCTCACCAAGTTAGATAACACAAGGAGTGGGGAAGCCCGCTGCTGTGTAACCTAACTACCTGTCAAAAGCTGGATGCAGCGCTGCCTGTAATTAACAGGCAGCGCTCCGTCCATGACAGGCTACACAGTGGGGAGGCTTTCCCTGCTGTGTAACCTGTAACAAGCCAATCTGAATGGGAAAAAAATCTGTCAGCTTCAGACTTGAAGCTGACACCTTTTTTTCTTCATAGTACAAGGTAAGGCTCTGCCTACCCTGACCACATGTCCCTGTTGTGTAAGAAATGAACATGTTCAAAAATTTAGGCATCAGCAGGAAGGACGGCTCCAGGGGTGGGTACTGGATCAGAGTAAAGCTTTGAAATCTACTGTGTCACATTTCACACAGGTGGTTCTGGTAGTTCTACAGAATAGTGGTTTACATTTTGTATTGCTATGGGAGAGGTGGGTTTGTATCACGGCTATAGTAATTGTTTAGACAGCATTGCCTTGAAGCTTTCTATATGTTCATAGACAAGCAATCAATATTTTGTACACATAGCACACATTTTAATAATAATGGCTGTAATAGATGTTTGCAGTTCAAGCGCATAACATAGCAGTGTAGTAAAACTGGAAAATCTGCCAAAGGAAAACAAAAGAATCCTGCTGCGAATTTGTATTCTGTACAGTCAGGGTGGTATTTACTATAACAGTACTAAGTCTCAAAATATACAATTTGTATACTGAATGATCCAGAACTTGGTATTGAGTGCCAAATGAACAGATCATACAGATTTGTCCATATGATTGAACGGCAAAGTATGTTAAAGATCAGCCTGTCCCTGGGTGACCAGTGTTTCTGTGTGTAGCATGATGTCACAGATCCTTTACAATATTTTCTTCCTCTGGCAGTGGTTGGATTCTGAATGCTGCAATGAGTGGCATCATGTAATGATATGGCGCCGTTCTTTACAGCATTCTTCTGTGAGTTTACAGCAGTGGGCAGTCCTTGACACCTTGAGCTCACAGCAGGTTAGTTGAATGATGCCCAGAGAAGGGCCAAAACAGCATAGTTAGATCATTGTCTGTGGGGTACAGTGCTGGAGATCAGGTGAGTATAGCAGCAGGAGCTGCATTTTATTTTCAAACATTTTAATCAAAACTGGAAATCTGCCTTTACCCCAATAGAAACCGATAGGGCTGCAACAACTAATTGATAAAATCGATAATATTCTATAATGATTAGTTGATTCCGATTAGTTGATTCAGCGCCTAAATGCTCAGCCGAACACCCCCCGTCACCACCGTTGCTGCTGCCACCACCTCAGCTCTGCTTAGCCACAACCCCCTGCCGCTGCATCCTCAACTCTGTTCAGATGCTTGTCAATCCCCCCCCCGCCACGTCCTCAACTCTCTGCAGCCTCTTGTCAACCCCCCGCTGCTGTGTCCTCAACTCTGTGCAGTACAACAGCAAAAAAAAAGCCCTTCCATGTACACCTTGCTTTAAAGCTGGATATGAGTTGATGAGTGCGTTTGCCATTTGTTTTGCTCAACTCTGTGCAGCCGCTTCTCAATCCCCCCCCGCCACGTCCGCAACTAATCAATTATGAGAATAATCGTTGGTTGCAGCTCTAGAAACAGACATCACTTTAATTATCAGCAAGCAAGTTATCGCACAAGGAATAACTGTTGTGCAAGGTGTTGGAGCCTTGTACAGGTTTGGAATGGCTTTAGCTATGTAATGCACATAAATACTTTTATTTATAGGTTGTTGCAAGCAGTACCTAGCTTGCAGTCATCCCTGAAAGAAGAGTGAAAATACGTAATCAGTATGAACATTTGTCTGTCTAGATGGATGTGTTTATCTATTGCCTCCAGTAAACCTGTCATGAGAAAAATATGGGCACAATCACGACTGCCTTATTAAAATGCTAGTTTCCTGGATGTTCAGCTGACCCTCTGCTTTCAGTACTTTGAGCTTCGAACCTAGAACATGTATCTGGATCAGAAAATACAGATGTCGTTATTTACAGCATGACATCCAGTCAACTGGCATTTTATTTTATTTTTTTGAAGGATTGGTGTACAAATGGCAGCCTCCAAGTTTATCTCTTGAAATAATTTCTTTTAAATGCAGAATCATCTGGATGACCTCAGGTGCAGCTAGAAAAAGCCCTATCTGTGTGTATAAAAATGTATTGTGTTAAAGGAGAACTATGAGGTGAGTGCTTTTCACTCACCTCATAGTTCTAGACGACCTGTGACAATGCACTGTCACAGGTCGGCTCAGTAGAT